TCGCTAAGTCGTGTCTGACTCTTTGCAACCCCATGAAATGCAGCCCGCCAGGCTTCCCTCTAGTTCACTATCTGCCTGAGTTTGCTCAAACTCATGTCCACTGAGTTAATAATGCCATCCAACCATCTCATCCTCTCTCGTCCCCTTCTCCTGCCCCCAAATTTTCCCAGCATCCCAGGTCTTTTCCAGTAAGTCAGCTCTTTGCAACAGGTGGCCAAAGTATTGGAGGTTCAACTTTAGCATCAGTCCTTCCAATGAATATTCAGGTTATTTTAACTAAATTAATACATCTTTTAAAATTTCTTAGTAAATATCAATATGGTAAATATTGATAGCTGTAAGTCACATAAACAAAAGCACTTTGGGGGGCCTCACTACTTTTTAAGTGTTAAGGGTTCCTGAAGCCAAGAAGCTTGAGAACTGCTACTCTCTACTACATTATTTCCGAAGGGTATGTGTGTGAGGGGAAGATGATTGTCCCGAGAGCTCACAGGTACAGTCAGGTGGATGGGCTCCCAGTTCAGTGCTCTTTCCATCAGTCCAGAAAGCCAAGATCACTGGGTAGAAGATGCTTCCCCAGCTGTCCCTAGCCTCTGCCAGACAGGGATTCTCTGGTGTGAGCGTAAGTCCATGTTCTCTAGCCAGGGATGCCCCTGCACTTGGATGCTTACTTGCTACTGCCCATCCAGCTGCCCGTGCTGCCCTCCCCATGCCAGTTCGTGGGACGACAAGCAGTGGGGGTGGGGAGGGTGTCCTGGGCAGCTGGACAACCATCCCCGCCCGTCCCTGGCACGGCTGTGCCCAGCACACAAAGGGCAGAGTGAATCTTGTCCCTCCCCTGCAGCTGAGGGGCTGGAAGGAGGAAAAGAGAAGGCACACACAAGGGTGGCTACCATGGGCTTCTCCATCACCCATGGTTCTCGGAGAGCTTTCACTCAGATACAGACAGAATGGGGGAGTCTGGGTCCTGTTCTTAGCCAGTGGGAAGAGATGCCCTGGGGGTGAAGTCCATGATGATAATCATGACGATTGAACTTGCACATCGTGATGTCATTGGATCCTTATAGCAACCTGGAGAGAGGAGCAAGACAGGCTGTATTGGCCCCCTTTCACAGATGAACATGTGGGTGCATGTGAAGTTACTTCAGTCATCTCCGACTCTTTGCGACCCCATCGACTGTAGCCTGCCAGGCTTCTCTGTCCATGGGATTCTCCAGGCAAGAATACTGAAGTGGATTACCACGCCCTCCTCCAGAGGATCTTCGTGACCCAGGGATCGGACCCGCATCTCTTATGTCTCTGGCATTGGCAGGTGGGTTGTTTACCACCTGGGAAGCCCACAGATGAACACACTAAAGCCAAGAAAGGCAGAATGACTTATTCATGGTCCCAGAGCTGAGCTGATCAGTGAAGCACTGAGTCTTCTACATAATGAGGGAATCAGCTACTGACCCCTTGTTAGCAGCCCTGTCATGTTTGGTGACAGTCTCAGTATCACTGAATAGAGTTTCAGGTTGGCTGTGTGCACGTGCCTGGCCCGTGTGAAGCCTCAGGAAGGCATGGTCTCAGGGCTGGTCCCAGGGGCTGGCAGCCTGGCTGGGAAGAAGGGCAACACAAAACGCGCACAGAGCCGAAGGGGACAGCAGTGCCTGCTGAGCGGCAGGTGGACGTGCAGGAGGGAAGGGGCGCTATGGGCTAGGCTGGCTCTTGCCTGGCCTTCTAGGGTGGGTGGTATTCAGAGAGGTGAAGAGGCATTGAAGGTGTGCCTTCCAGCAAGGGGAAATGGCCTAAGTAAAGGCCAAAAAGTGAAAAGCCTACAGCAGAGGGCTGGGATAGTGTGGGGGGGAGGTGAGCTGACAACCCTGCTGCCCCTTTCTGGAAGGAAGACAAGAATCCCAAGACCTTCCATGTCAGTGCCAGCATGTGGATTTCCCCTATGAAACTTGACAGCACCCTTCCTTCCCCAACTTCCAAAAAGGCAAAAATGAGTTAATAAAGAAAGGGATAAAAACAAAGTTGTAAGAACCACAGCCTAAGGGCAGCTGGCAGGGGAGGCTTTCCCCAGCAGCCAGAGATGCTGGCACGCTCCAGGCACAGCGCCTGCTCAGAACAAGCCCCACACCTGGATCATGCCCCACCCACCCCCAGGATGCCCACAGGGACCCCTGAGATGCTTGCCATTGTCCTTGGTTCTCCCGCTGGCCCACTGCCCACCTGGCTCAGGTCCAGTACGTGTGAGTCAGCCAATCAATCCCAGTGTTGCCAGGACAACCAGGGCGGGAGTGGGGGCCCTGGGGCCAGCAGGGGTAGGCACGGCAGGCGGGCTGTCTCCTGCATCTGGCACCTGCAGCAGCTGAGGCTGCATACAGTCCCCAGAAGGATGCTTCTCCTCCCTCCTTCTTCCTGGACTCCCATCCCTCTCTCTCCCTCCTCCTAGGACACTTGCTGCTAGAGGCTTAGGCAAATATTTAAAGTGGCAGTTGGGGGTGAGGAGAGTGGTGGGAACAAACACTTCTGTCTCTCTCTCCTTTCCGGAGCTTCTCTTCTGGGACTCTCAACTTGGATACCATGCCATTGTGCAACCTGGAGGCTAAAGGCTCTCCAGCTGGAGAGGGGGTCCTCGTGGAGACAACGGAATCTGCCAGGGCTGGAGAGTTGGGGGCCAGCTCGTGACTGAAGGGCAGGGTCAAGGTGGGAGGGGGCACCCAGCAAAGGACAGGAATTGGGGTGAAGTGTTGGAGTTCAAGTACAAGGAGAATGGGGTGAGGCCAAGAGAGGAGTGAGGTGCGGGGCTCTGACTCACACTCGAGTTAAAGTTCAGAGGTGAAGGCAATGTAGAGACCACTTGACCCAGCAAGCGGAGGGAGCTGGAGAGAAGGGAGGCGGTCATTAATTGACGTGGTTTCGTACTACAAAGCAACAGAGATGGCTTTGGGGAAAGAGACAGGAAAGGGGTGGAGAGGAGAAGATCCAGAAGCAGTTTAGATCTGGGTAAGAGCATCCTCAGGGCAAATGCAGGAACAGAGGATATAAAAAGAAGAATGTTGAGAGGGTAGGGCGCGAGGCAGCACTAAGCAAGTGGGCTGATTCAAGGACAAGGAGATGGGGACCCCCATCAGACACCACCACCGGCCCTGTGCAAGGCTGTCTGGGCATAACTGTCAGCTGAGGAACTGCCATCAGAAGCCTCCAGCTTGGGACTTCCCTGGTGGTCCATTGGCTAAGACTCCACACTCCCAATACAGGGGGCCCAGGTCCAATCCCTGATCAAGGAGATAGATCCTGCTGCCACAATTATGACAGAAGATCTCAAGTGCCCAGTGCAGCCAAAAAAACACACAAAAACCTCCAGTTTGATCTCTGAAAATGGTTTGCTCCTTCTTTGATGCAGAAAACCCACAGAAACATGCAAATCCAGAAGTTCAAATCTTTGTGTTCACTTTAGGAATATTCGTGAAATGGCACAGGCTATCAAGGGTATGTATATCCCTAAAGCCACCAAGTATTTGAAGGATGTCACTTTAGAGAAGCAATGTGTGCTGTTCCCTTGTTCCAATTGTGGAGCTGGTTGACGTGCCCAAGCCAAACTGCAGGGCTAAACATAGGGCTGGCGACCCAAAAAGAATGCTGAGTTTTGCTGCATGTGCTTAAAAATGCAGACAGTAATGCTGAACTGAAGGGTTTCGACGTGGATTCTCTGGTCAACAAGCCCCCAAGATGCCGCACAGAACTTCACAGAGCTCACAGTTGATTAACCCCTGTGGACTCCCCCTGCCACACAGAGATGATCCTGACCAGGAAAAGAGCCAGTTATCCCTAAACTTGCACAGGAACTTGTGCAGAAGAGAAAGCTGTCCCAGAAGAAACTGGAGAAGCAAAAATGTATGCTCTGGAAAATAAATTAAGCATAAAACAACTGCAGGGACTTCCCTGGTGGCCCAGGGGTTAAGAATCCGTCTGCCAATGCAGGGGACACAGATTCAATCCCTGGTCCGAGAAGATCCCACCTGCCCTGGGACAACTAAGCTGGTGTGCCACAACTACTGAGAACTCACTCTAGAGGCTGTGCTAGGCAACAAAAGAATTAACTACAAGAGAAGCCTACGCACTGCAACTAGAGAGTAGCCCCTGCTGGCTCAACTAGAGAAAGCCTGCAAGCAGAAATGAAGACCCAGCACAGCAAAGATAAACAAATAAATAAATACAACTTAAAAATAAATGCAAAAAAGGTAAAATCAGGTGAAAGAGAAAAAGCCTTCAGCTTACAAACAAGCCCATACAAAGAAAGAAAAACCGCACGTTAGTAAGAATTTATAACTAGAAGGGACAGTTTTCAGAATTTGGGAAAGAATGACCAGGGGCATGTCTGAGGTTAGGTACAAGATGGGAGGAGGCAAGGCATGTATACTTGAGTTGAAAATCTGACACTCCCAGGGAATTTATGAACCATTTGTGAAACCCTGCACTGATGCCAAAGCACCTCATGCCTTTGGTACTGTTCCTGTGGGTCCACAAGATTTCACCTTCCTGGAGCTTAGGCTCCAGGGGCAATGTGGAGGCAATTCTGGGGGCAAATCTGTTGGGAAGTATGGTGGACCCATTGGGGCTGGCTCTTGGCTGCCGAAGAGGTTCAGCCTGGCAGAAGAACAGGAAAAGCTATAAGACGGCAGGGGCAGGTGCCAGCAAGAATGGCAGGCATGCCAGGAAGACACCCACGGTGAGAGGTGTATATTTCTCAAGGGCAAGGTTGCTCAGCTCACCCAGCTTTGCTTTCCCTGGGGCCAAGAGGACTCACGCGCCAGGGCCAAGGGCCCTCAGGTGCTCTTGCAGCTGGCTTATCGGGCCCTTGGCCCTGGAGGGCCAGGAACAAACAGGCTTCAAAGCTGAGGGCTTGGCTGGCAGACAGGGGCTGGGTCTTCTACCTCTGTCCTGTGTCCATGCTGGCACATATAAGACCCTAGTCGTACTCAGAGATGAGGAGGGAAGGTGTCTACAGCAAGATGGATGTGGGCAGCAAAGAGGTCTTGATTGAGAGCCCGCCGGTGAGTCTGATCATGTGTACATGTATGTGTGTGTGTGTACGTGTGCAAGAGTGTATCTGTGTATGATAGGCTCTGCCTCCTCCAACCTCTCTGGGCCTGTTTCCTCACCCAAATTCATTCACTCAACTAACCTAGGACTGTGCTAAATTAAGACAGGGACACCAACCACTAAGACAGAGACTCTTGAAATGGCAGACTCAGCAGCCACTAATTCCCATACAAGGGGCTGCGAGCCATCAAAGGGGTCCGTGGAAAAGACTGTAGAGAGCAGTGGGGGAGGAGCTTTGCAGAGAAACTAGCATTTGAGCAGGCTTCAGACGAACAAGCCGGAGCTCACCAGGTGGAGAAGGAGGAAGGCATTGCTGGAAGAAGGGATCATATGCCTAAAAGTATGGATTTGGAAGGGAACTGAGAGGGGCTGGGTGTGACTGGGATGTCAGAGGTGTGGAGGAAACAGCAGGAGGTAAGACTGGTGAAACAGGCTCTCTTGAGTCTCTTCAATCTAGACCTCACTTCTAAGCATCTATGAGCTTGTTGGAATCCAGGCCCCCTCCAGGAAGCTTCTAACCTGCTCAGCCCTCTTCTGCACGTCCGTGGCGTTGGTTGTTCAGTCCCGGGAGAGAGTGGGATGGTGTCCCGGTTCTGCAGGGAGAAGGGGCATCTTCATGACCTCACACCTGTCACCCCACCTGCCCCACATGTCAGGACTACTCAGCAGTCCCCGGGAGCCGGCTCCGCATCCCCTGCTGTCCCGTGAACATCAAACGCCTTCTCATCGTGGTCGTGGTTGTGGTCCTTGTCGTCGTGGTGGTCGTAGGGGCCCTGCTCATGGGTCTTCACATGAGCCAGAAACATACGGAGATGGTGAGTAGGTTTGGGATGGGGTGGGCAGTGGATACAGGGCAGGTCAGAGAGAGGCCCTGGGATGGGGTGGGCAGAGAGAAAATTGCCCACGGGGAATGAGGGGAGGAGGCAAGTGACACCTCAGGGAAGGACAGAGGTGGAAACAGGGTGGCAAACTTGGCCTGGGCTTTTTCACCAGCCCCCACCCCACAGTTGGACAGTCTGTTCCCTCCAGCGCCTGGTTCCCCTGGGCGTCTCTGAGCTCCCAGGGAAGAAAGAATAGCATTTGAGTAAAAAGGACTGGGGCTCCCCAGGTGATGCTAGTGGTAAAGAACCCACCTGCCAATGCCGGAGACATAAGAGATGCAGGTTCCATCTCTTACGGGTCAGGAAGATCCCCTGGAGGAGGGCATGGCAACCCACTCCAGTCATCTTACCTGGAGAATCCCATGGACAGAGGAGCCTGGAGGGTTACAGTCCATAGGGTCTCAGAGAGCTGGACACGACTGCAGTGACCAAGCACAGCACGGCACAGAGGGAACTGCGGGTGGGCGTGAGCTGCAGGACTGAGCGGGGAAGGAGGACTGCCAGGCAGCACAACGCCCTCCTCCAGGTTCTAGAGATGAGCATCGCAGGCCCGGAGGCACAGCAGCGCCTGGCCCTGAGTGAGCGTTTGGGAACCTCCGCCACTTTCTCCATTGGCTCCGCTGGCACCGTGGTGTATGACTACCAGCGGGTGGGTATGCGCGACCTCTTGATCCCAAGGCTAGGGAACCAGTGGTAATTCTGTGCTAGACGTCTTCGGCTGTGGCCTTCCCACAGGTCCATTTCTCCCCACCCCCAGCACTTTTGCTAAGCCCCAGATTCCAGTATGACCCCTTCCAGTGACCAACCTAGAGGGGATGGCCTAGGACCAGAGTTAGGAGTGAGCCAGGCAGCGCCTTACTAACTGACCCTCGGATGTTCCCATGCCCAGCTCCTGATTGCCTACAAGCCAGCCCCCGGAACCTGCTGCTACATCATGAAGGTGGCTCCGCAGAGCATCCCGAGTCTCGAGGCTCTCACTAAAAAATTGCAGAATCTCCAGGTGGGCGTATGGGTAAGAGGGAGGGGGTTGGCTTTTCCCAGGGCTGCTGGCAGGAGCGTTTTAGATGATGACTTTGTCACCTATAAAATGCTGCTCCCCAGGGACTGCCAGGAGAATGTCCTCCCTGGATCCTCCTGCACCGAGCCTTTCCTAGCCAAGTTCCCCATCCCCGCCCCGCAGCCAAGCTGCTGGCGTTAGCTGAGCCCACATACCCGCTGGGGGCTCTGACTCCAGCACAACACCTTCTTCACACAGAGAGACTGCCTGGCACACCTGAGGTCCCGCATGAAGGACCACAGGTGAGACAGAAACTCAGTTCCCAGCTCCCAACCAGATGCTCTTTCCAGGCCAAGCCTCCAGCGCCTTCCTCGAAGCTGGGCCCGGAGCAGGGCCGTGATGCCGGCTCAGCATTCCCTGGGGACCTGGCCTTCCTGGGCAGGACCGTGAGCACCCTGTGTGGCGAGGTGCCCATGTACTACATGTAGGACTGGTCAGGTGAGCAGCTGTGACCTCCAGGGCCCGGGAACAGACGCAGCCCTGGACGGTTTGGGCCACCTCTTCATGTCAGCTGACCAGGCACTGGGGGACCCAACACGACGGGGTCACCTACGCAGCTCCTGGGAAGGAAGGTTCACAAACACCCCCTCCGTTCCTTCCCCCTCACATAATAAACAGTGTTTCTTTGCTTCCCAGGGCCTCAGGAAGCCCCAAAGGGACAGCGAAGATCCAGGAGCAAAGGGGTCTTGTGCAGACTGGCAGAAAGCAGATCCTGTCGACTCCGCTGGGACTGGCCCTGGAGAAATGGGAGCTGTGGGGAGAGGTGGGCAGAGGAGAAGCAGCCCCTAGGGCCCAAGGGGGCTCCTACCACCAAAGATTAAAGCATCCTGATTGCAGAACGAAGGGTGTACCTCGTCTGTCCTCTCCCTGCCCCGCTTTGGTGGGGGCCGGCCAGGGGAAGGCTAGAGCCTCGGGGGCGCCAAGCCGGCTTTCCCGTTCTCCCCCATCCCAGGGTGAGGAGACTGGGGAGCAATCCGCGGGCTCCAGGCGCCCTCCAGTGGCGTCTCCCGAGGGAGGGAGCGAGACGGAGACGGCGAGAGACCGAAGGACCGACCTAGAGGGACAGGGACCGAGATGGGCGAGAGCGAGGGTCCAAGAACCCGAGAGAGCGACAGCCGCAGGCGGGAAGACGCAGCCCGAGACGAGGGGGGCCAGAGCGGGGCGGAGGCTGCACGGTCGACCCGACGGCGTGCCCGGAGGCCCAGGAGGGGGCTCGGGCCGGACACCCCGGGCACCGGCGCCCCTTCCCCGGCCCCGCCGCCTCGCGCCCCGCGCCGCCGGAGCCCCCTCCGGGCCGGCCGGCTCCGTGCCCTCCCCGCCTCCGGCTGGCGTGTGTCCCGGCCCGGCCGATCTCCGTCCCGGCCCCGAGGGGGGCCGAGCTCCAGGCGAAAACCCGCCCTCCAGCGAGCTCATTTCCCTAAAGAGGGGGAGAGGGAGGGAGGGAGAGAAGGAAAGAGACGGAAAGAAGGGAAGGGAGAGCGGAGAAGCCGGGCCGGAGAGGGGGCGGGAGACAGGAAGGAGGGAGGGCGAGCAGAGGGAAGGGGAAGAGGTAGGGAGAGCGCGGGGGGAGAGCGGGCGGCCGGGAGCGCCCTCCCCTCGCCGCCAGTCCTCCGCTTCCCCCCTCGCCCGCTCCCGCGTCCGGGCGCGCCCCGCCGCCGCCGCCGCCGCCGCCGCCGCCGCCGCGCCCGCCAGCATGCCCGGCGTGGCCCGCCAGCCGCTGCCGCTGCTGCTCTGGCTGCTGCTGCTAGCGCGCCCCGGCCGGCCGCTCGACCTGGCCGACTACACCTATGACCTGGGGGAGGAAGACGACGCAGAGCCCCTCAACTACAAAGACCCCTGCAAGGCGGGTAGGTGCCCCCACCCCGCCGGTCGGGCCCCGGGGCGCCAGGGCCGGACGCGGGCGGCCCGGGGCCCGGAGGGAGGCGCCGGCTGCTTGAGGGTTCGGGGGAGGACAGTCCGGTGTGGGAAGCCGGGAGCTGCCTGGTTGGCAATGCAGTGGGGAACAAAAGAAAGAGGGAGAGAGTGGGGGGGTGGCTGGGGGAATTTTAGGGACTGAAGTTTTGCAGCGATTGATATGAGCTGCCCAGTGGCTACCTCTGGTGTGACCCCAGAAGGGTTCCTCCCGGGATACCGGGAGGAAACCTGTGGCCAAGGAGGCTTTTCCTTCTACTGGAAACTTTTCCGGCCAAACTCCTCTGTGTGTGTGTGTGTGCGTGTGTGTGTGTGTGTGTGTGTGTGTGCACACAGTTTTCCCTTCTGCCAGATCCGGGGCTCCAGCATACTGGTGTTTTCCATCCTGTCTGTCTGGGCTGCCCTAGCGGCTGCACATCTGTCCGGCTGGGTTCCGGGAGGCCTCCATCCCCAGGAAGCAGGTCTCCTGAGAGCTCCCCCACACACACCCAGCCCAAGTGGAAGAAAGTTTTTTTTCAAGGGATCCTCTTAGATCATGCCCCCTGGGGATCCCATTTCCCCACCAGCAGCAGCAGTTTAGTGAGACCTTAGAGACAGCTGTCAAAAGTCAGAGAAGCCAGCTCAGGACTGGGACTGACTTCTGTCCCTGTGTGCCAGAGGCCCCTGCCAAGGCCAAGTGGTGGTGGAAAGGGGGAAAAACGGAACTCAGATACTGTGTATCAGCTCTCTCCATCCTGCAGACACTGGAGGTTAATGAGCCCAGGTCAGGGCCCCGGAGGGGTTGTGTGTGTGTGTTCTTTGTCCATGAAGACCTGGTGTAACCCCTTCACTCCTGCTGGGCCCAGAGGGATTCCCCCCTGCTCCCCCCTACCAGAGTGACCAGATGGTCTTGCACTCCAGCCGTTTGCATGATTGGATGACCCTGAACAGGCTGCCATGGACAAGATAAGACACAGGGCATAAGATAGCAGAACCTTTCCTCGACTTCCAGCCTCTGATTTCAGACTGTCTCCAAATAGTCAGGGCCAGGGGAATGACTCTGGGTGCTTGGAATTCTAGACGTACCTGTGGGTGGCACGAGGGACTGGGGGTCAGGTTGCTCTGGTTCTGACCCAGGGGACCCCTCTTTGGGTGATGGAGCAGAGTGAACTGCAGGCATAAGGGACCTTCCAGTGGGAGGAGGAGAAGCCAAACCCTCACTCAGCCCTTCCTCCTCCACGCTTGCTGGGCTGTGAGCAAACCAGACGTTAGCCTCCATCTTTCTCACTGGGCTTGGGGTGGACATAAGGCTAAGTGGCCAGAGTGTGGGCTTTGCAGGCAGGCAGACATAGCCCTCAATCCTGGACCCACAACTCATTAACTGTAGCATCTTGGGAACAGTAATTATCATCTCTGGACTTTGCTTTTCTCACCTGTAAAATGGAACTGATAATACGTTTCTCCGTAGAGTTGGTGGTAAAGATTAAATGTGAGAACACATATAAAATGCATCTTAGAGCTTAACACTCACGAAGCACTAAATAAATGTTGGTGGCTTACCCCCTGTTTTCTGTGCCTCACACACTTCATTTTTTCCTTCTGAGAAAATAGGCTTGGTTTTCAGGAAAAGAGAATATCTTCCTAATCCCGTCCTGTGCCATTTATTCATTCAACTGGCCTGCATTTGGACTTCCCTGGTGTCCCGGACAGTAAAGGATCTGCCTGCAATGCAGGAGACCTGGGTTTGATCCCTGGGTGAGGAAGATCCCCTGGAGATGGGAATGGCTACCCTTCCAGTATTCTTGCCTGGAGAATACCATTATGGAAAGGTACCAGGCCATTAGGCTTGATGTTGTGAGAGATAGAATTATAAGCCAGACTCCCTGCCCTCAAAGAGCGTACAGTCCAAAGGGGGCACAAGACACCTGTGGATGAACCAACTGCACAAACCAAGATGTCTTACCTGCCACCTGGAGGGAAAGCCCTTAAAGGCTCGAAGAGCCTCTTGCCCCATAGTAGTGGTGCTGGCGGAGAAACAGTGATCACAGCACACCGGGAACGTTTGGGAGATCTTCATGGAGAAATAGAGCTGGACAAGGCCTTAAAGAATAGGAAGGAAGCCAGGCTGATGTATTTCACTACCAGTTGGAAATTGGAGCAATTTTTTGGAGCAGCGGAGGTTCAGGGCTCCATCCCAGTCTCAGATTTCATGCTGGCTGGGTGGGGCTAGCTGAGTTGGAACTTCAAACGAGGGCTTTGGAGCAAGTTCTCCACTAGGGTGAAGTGAGGCTCATGGGGAGCTGGGCCAGGCCAAGAGGTGGCCAGGAGAGCCTGACAAGGCCAAGACTTGGGGTCAGGGCAGGCTTCCCTCCTCAGTGTGACTGGTACAGCCCCTCCTCCCTCCTGCCTGACTCCTAAGACCCCATATCAGCACCCTTGGGCCTCAGGTCCCCAGATTATTTCCTCTGTTGGTGTTAACTTCTCCTGCCTGCCGTCACCTCTTGCCCCAGCTGAGCCCTGACCTCCAGATGCTGGTGGCAGATGGTGTCTGTCTTGACTTCCTTTGAATGCACCTGGCTGTACCTGCTTGATGCTCTCCAGCTCTCTTCTCTTCCCTCTCCTTCTTCTGACTGTCAAGAGTTATGGTTACTGTTGTCAGTAAGGACAGAATTAAGACCCTTGAGACCCTGGAGAGGTTCTGGCTAGACCAGAGCAAAGGGCAGGAAGCCAAAGTAGCCTGTGTGTGCTCAGAGCTGTTTCCACCAAGCCCTCTTTTTCTCTCCCGGGGAGATTGCGACTCAGCCCTCATTTTTTGTACGCTAGGATGCCAAACCATCAAGGAAATCGTTTCCCAAGATTCCCAGTTCCTTCTGGCTGCTCCAGATGACTCAGGGCTCTGGGAGAGACCATAGAGGCAAGAATTGGGACGCAGCTGCTCCATTCAGCGGAGAAGCCCACAGGGATGCTCCTGAGCCAGCAAGGACCTTAATTCTGCCTCAGTTGGCAGCTCAGAGATGCTATGGGGAGGCCAGGTGGTCTAGTAGCTCACCATCCTCATCCCAGGGGCTTTGTAACCCAGATTTGGACTTCACAGGGCCTCAGAGGGCTAGATTATAGGCTCTGGAGGTTGAGAAGCAATTCCTTCTCCTGCCAGACCACTTTCCCCCCTCCAGACATGCCATATGAGTCACCCACCCACCTATACCCCTGCTCCATGAGTCACCTTCTCTTTTGGTGCCCCAAGGGAGGAGGAAAAGTCTTATAATCTCCCTGGACTCAGGATGAACGGGGAAACAATGGGACTCTCCTCGAAGAAGAAGCTCTCAGAAATTCTAGTTTCTCCAGGGATTTTGGGAGAAGATATTGGGGGAGGAGGGGACGCAGTAGAGTGCATCACTAAAGACCTCCTAAGGATAACCGAGGGATTCAGCTACTCTCCCTTTCTCTTCTTCTCTCTCCATTTCTGAAGGCACCCCTCTCCTTCAGTGAGGGGGTGTGGCCTGTGAAATGGGGTGTGCGCATACAGTTCTTTGTGTAT